TTAAGTATTTTTCAATTGTAATTTTCAAAAATCATATCCTCATTGTATGAAACTGTGTAGTTATTTGCGTTAAAAATGTTTAAAAGGAAATAATTAGGCAATTCCAATATAAAAAACTAGTTTAGATTTTTAGGACAAGTATAAATCAATGAAATTCAATTATGAGAAGGTTAATCAATCATTAAAAAAATATAAAATATAGAAATTGATGAAATAACACAAAGAATTATTAAAAAAACGCACTGAGTTGTCATTCAAAATCTTCAACTGACAAAGGAGAGCGACTTGTATTCAAGCAAAAACCATTGAAGTCCTCATTTATCTTCTCCAAAGTCCATATACGAACTTAAAAGAACACTATGTTTAAATTTAGACCTCTAAACAGACCTTAGGTTGCTTCGAAACAATATAAAGTGAACTATCGTGTGGTACGGGAAAAATACTTAATTTAGATATTTACAAATAGAGGCGGTTCTCATCACCTAAGATCCACAAAAGCAATATTTTTCAACTAATATTGAATATATAGTTAGAACCCAAATCAAGAATAACTATCCAAATCCAACTACGCCTACTGTATTTTATTCATAAAATAATGCATTCAAAATATGAGGTAGAATATCAAGATTCTAGCATGTAATAGTTCTATAGTGGTATACGGTGATATCCCCATACTTAGAGTGGCTAGGATGGTACTTAGTGTTAGCTTTATTGAATAAGAATCAATATTACACAATTCTAAATGAAATTCACACAGTACTCCCCAAATAGATGGGGTTTCCCAGGGTACACTAAACAGGTATATGCAAAGTATATTAATAAAGTAGCGACATCTCTTGTTGTACAACAACATCTACAACAACCACATGTATTTTGTTTTTGGAAAATTTAAGATTGTGTCAAAATAAAATTTCCTTGAAAAACAATGTGAACAAAACATAAATAAAAAATATTACTTTTAAGTTAAAGATATTAACGATTTAATTATATTATTATATATTATACAATTTATTACACTTTTAAACTACTTTAAAACCACTTTTAATTCACTTTTTAAACTTTTCACAAGTTTTAACAAATAGCAAAACACAATTTAAAAATGGCGACGTAAACAATGTTAACAATTTTCAAAACAAACTTTGACAATTTGCTTCATTTATCTAGTTTAAAAAAAATAGTCAGCTGTTCAAGTGATGCTACTTTATTAATTTACTTTGGGTATATGCATCACTACAACAATACAAAAACAACATGTATTTTGTTTTTGTAATTGTATGAGCTCAATGTCAAAATAAATTAAAATATTTTTTGATGTTTGTCTTTTAAAAAAATTCTTAATTTTATTTCAAAAAACATGCAGTGATTTTAAATGGAATTTTAAGGGATATGCATGTTTATATACTTATATTAAGGTGGATGCTATTGGTAAATGTTACAGAGGAATTGGCAGAGGACCTGACAAAAGTAAGATTTTGGAATAACCTGATTTGTGCCACGAAATTTGTATCTTTAGCTACAAAAGTTTGGCAAACGAAAGTGGGCGAAAACGGGCGCAATACTAAAGATTGTTGATATCTGAATTGGCCTGATTTGTGCCAATAAAGTTGTGTTGTGGCTACCAAAGTGTGGCTAAAGACAAGAGCCTTCTCAACGTGCGCAATACGGGGGATAGTTGATATCTGGAATGACCTGATTTGTGCCATTAAAGTTCTATTCTAAACGGATGAAGTTTGGCTAAAGACAGCGGATCTCAGAAAGGGCGCAATGCGGAAGATGGTTGAAATGTATTTTTTGTGCAAACAATATTATTTTTTTACAAACTAAACATTTTAAATTTTTTTATTATTAAAATTTTATTTTGTTTCAAATAAACAAAAACATATTTTGACAGAGAAGGTATGCAAATAAGAAAACAAAAAAATTATCAGCTGTTCGATTGCATATACCTGTTTAGTGTACACTGGGGTTTCCGTAATGTAGTTTTTGTTTGTCAATACAATATGACCAAAAACCCAGATTATTTTTGTTATAATCTATAGATTTATACCCCACTAAAATTTTTTTCTAGGTCCAAATCCATTGATTTCCTAATATATCATGTATCCAATTCAAAATTACTTATTATTTTCGAAATTAAATCAAAGAAACGATAGATTTCATGTTAAGTCAAATATTGAGAAATTCTTATAGGTATATAGGATAGTAAATCGGTTAAGAAATGTCCAAACTTAGTCGTTCCACTGCTAAAATATCTAAAAAATGTTATTCTAATACATAGGAGAAATAAAAATATTAAATTTTATAAAATAATGCAGCAATATTAAAAAAATGAACAAAAAACCTAAAAAGCAAAATACTTTATTGACCTTAAAAATTAACAATACGTTCACATTTGATCAAAAATCTCGTTAATTAATATCACGATTTTACTTTTTATGGTATTTTATTTAAATATAAGATATTCTTTAAAAAATACAACAAACAAATTGCTTTATTTTGCTAAAAATAATTGTTTAGATAAAGTTTCTTCTTAAAATTTATAAAATTTTACATAGGCAAATTACTTAATTGATTCACTGTATGTGTTCTAATTTAAAATTCTTTAACAATCAATTTCAAGAAAAGAATGCTGAAGTTACAATTGCTAATAAAGAATCAATGCAAATAAAGGGTTGCGGTCAAGTTGATATGATTGCTAAGGTTGGAAAATTTAAAGAAGAAAATGTGATGTTTCGTGATGTGCTTTATATTCCCAACTTATATGTCAATTTGTTATCAGTTTCGAAAATTGTGGAATCTGGTTATGAAGTCGCATTCAATAAAAAAGGGTGCAAGGTATTGAACAACTTCGGTAACAGGTGACCTGGTGAATGGTATGTTTAAATTAAACATTGCAAGTAACAGTGTGCTTATTTCTGAAGTGAAAAAGGAAGAATACAACTTGTGGCATAAACATATTGGCCATGCAAATGATGAAATCTTAAAAAGTATGAAGTCTGGTGCAGTCAATGGTGTCAATTGTGAAATTAACAAGCAAAACTGCATTACTTGTATAAAAGGTAAGCTATCAAGATCTCCATTTAAGGATCCTGGAACGAGAGCAACAGAGTTATTAAGCCTAATACACTCACACCTTTGTGGACCTATGGAAGTACCGTCAATTAATGGTTCAAGATATATGCTAATATTCGTTGATGTTTTTAGCAGGAAAGTAACGGCCTATTTTATAAAAACCAAAGATAAAGTAGATAAAAAAGTAGATAAATTTATGGAGTTTAAAAACTTGGTTGAAAATCAAACTGGAAGAAGAATAAAAGCATTAAGAAATGATAATGGAACTGAATACTGCAATGGGAGAATGAATAAAATTTTTATTCAATACGGAATTAAGCATCAAAAGACAGTGCCTTATACGCCACAACAAAACGGCATGTCAGAGAGAATGAACCGTACTATTATTGAAAAAACAAGATGCCTTTTAATTGAATTCCGTCTACCAAAGAAGTTCTGGGCTGAAGCTGCAAATACGGCTGTATATTTAATAAACCGCACTCCATGTAAAACTTTAAATAGTGTTTCTCCTGAAGAAATATGGTCTGGTAAGAAACCAAACTTAAAATATCTTAAAGTTTTTGGATGCAAAGCTGTGATACATATAGCAAAAGAAAAGAGAAGAAAACTGGATGATAAAGCAAAAGAATCAATTTTCGTTTGCTATTGTACACACTTTAAAACCTATCGGTTCTATGACGTTAAATCAAAGAAGGTCGAGTTAAGTAGAGATGCCAAGTTTTTAGAAAACGAATTCTATAATGAAATGCCTAGTGATGATTCTAAGTTCTATATTATACCGGTATGTGATTCAGTGGGGGATGTGGATGATCCAGAAGATATATGTTCTGATTATAGAAATCCAACAGATAATGTTGACGAATGCTCCGATGAAATAAATCCTACAGATACTATTGATATACGTTCAGATGCAACAATTTCATATTCAGAAATTCCAAGTATTGGAGAAGAAAGTAATTCTGATGAAGATCAATATTTTTCTGAAACTGATGAGACATCGCCTAGGAACAATGATGATCAAAGTAACGACTGGGTACCTGGACCATCTGTGAGAGGAATCACATCTCCTGAAACTGTAAGAAAGTCATCTAGAACACCAAAACCAATTCAAAGGTATGGGTATGAATGCAATGTTGTTCAAGGTGATGAAGAACCCAAAACAGTGAAGCAGGCATTAGAAAGTTCTAACAAAAATGAATGGCAACGGGCTATGGATGAAGAACTAAACGCTTTAATTTAAAATGGAACATGGGAACTTGTAAAACTGCCAAAAGGAATGAAACCTTTTGATAGCAAATGGTGTTTCAAAATAAAGTGGAACTCTAAAGGTGATATAGAGCGATATAAAGCGAGGTTGGTCATAAAAGGTTATTCCCAATGCTACGGAATTGATTACGAAGAAACATTCTCTCCTGTAGTTCGATATTCCTCAATTCGACTACTCCTAAGTTTGGCCGTTCAGCGCGACTTGGATATAGACCAAATGGATGTGGTGACAGCTTTCCTCCAAAGTGAACTAAATATATATGAAGATCCCTGAAGGTTTCACTGGAAAGAAAGACATGGTATGTAAACTTAAAAAATCTTTGTATGGTCTTAAACAAACTAGTAGATTGTGGAATCAAAAGCTGGATCAAACATTGAAGAAAATTGGATTAACTCAATCAAAAACGGAACCTTGCGTATATTACAAGTTAACCAAGGATGAAATAACTTATGTAGCAATTTACGTTGACGACATTTTGATATTTACAAATAATTCAAAAAATAAGTTAAATATAAAGAAACGTCTTACAGAAAATTTTAAAATGAAAGACATTGGTGAAGCGAACTACATCTTGGGGATGAAAATTACAAGAGATAGAAAGAATGGAAAACTATGGCTTGATCAGAAACAATATATTAACAATATTTTGAAGAAATTTAAGATGGATGACTGCAAGCCAATTTCAACTCCATTGGATATTAACCAGAAAATTTCAAAAGATATGTGCCCACAAACAAAGGAAGAGAGTGATGACATGAAAACCATACCGTACCAAGAAGCAATAGGAAGTATTATGTATGCAGCTCAAGTAAGCCGTCCTGATGTATCGTTTGCAGTGGGGGCTTTAGCTAGATACAACAATAATCCTGGAAAGGCACACTGGCAAGCAGTAAAGCGCATAATGAGATACCTCAAAGGAACAATAAATTACAAGTTGCAGTTCTCAAAAGATGAAAATGTACATATTGAAGGATTCTCAGATGCGGATTGGACTGGCGACTTAGATGATAGAAAATCAACTTCTGGTTACGTTTTCAAATTTCAAGGAGGTTGCATTTCGTGGAACTCCAAGAAGCAACAAACAACAGCTTTATCAACAACAGAAGCTGAGGCAAGAGGCGTTGTGGCTACGATCTCTGTTCAATGAACTTGGACGATCATCATCTATTGTGATAAAGTGCGATAATAAAAGCGCTATAAAAAAGCGTACTTATCATGCTCGCTCTAAGCACATTGACATACGACATCATTTTATAAGAGATCTCGTAAATGACAAAAAGGTTGTTATTGAATATCTGAATACCGAGGATATGGCAGCTGATGTCTTGACGAAATCCCTAACAAGTTTAAAGCATTTACATTGTTGTGATATTATGAATCTTGGCGTTCATCCTAGTGGGGGTGTTGGAGAATGAGAATGAACTTCCTTTATAATATACTTGTTTTGTTTACTTTGAATTTAATCAATTTAGTTTGTAAATTTTAATTAGAAAATTTATTGATAGAAAAATAAATTTTTCATTCCTTGTTTTTCCGTAAATCAAATATCACCTATTAAGAGAATACAATTTTAAATCATAGCTAGCTTATTAAAAAATTAATGAATTGTGGCAACTCTAAATGGTGTACTTTGACAGTTGTGTCTAACTCAAATAAAAAACAAGTAAGAAAGTATAGTCGGGCGTGGCCGACCATATGATACCCTACACCAGTTATGAATATTAAATGTGATTTATTTTTCATAATATCGCATTTATCTTCAATATTCCCTTGTTCCGATACATTTAAGCAATTTATGGATGAAAAACTAATTTTCTGAAAGAGGCTTTATATGGGGGCTAGGGGCAAATATGGACCAAGCCCGATAAAATTTTGTGAATATATTTATATTTACATAATATTTTATTGTGCTGAATTTCATCGCGATATTTGTGTTTATAAGTTAATTTGGGACATTCAAGTAATTTTCTGAAGGGGACTTTGTATGGGAGCTAGGGTCAAATGGGGCCCGATCTTTATGAAATTTGGCAGGGTTATCAAGACTTCTATAAATCTTAGTTATGCCGTATTTTATCGATATATCTGTATATTTAACATAATTATGAGCTCAGAAGCCCTTTTCGGGGGGTTCTGTTCTATGGGGGCTAGGTGAAATAATGGACCGATTTTAACCATTTTCAATAGGCTTCGTCCTTGGGTCAAATAAAACATGCGTGCCAAATTTCATCCAAATATCTTGAAAATTGCGACCTGTAGCTTGCGCACAAGGTTTACATGGACAGCCAGCCAGCCAGACGGACGGACGGACGGACATAGCTTAATCGACTCAGAAAACGATTCTAAGCCGATTGGTATACTTTAAGGTGGGTCTAGGACGAATATTTTTATATGTTACAAACATCAGCACAAATCCAATATACCCTCCCCACTAAAGTGGTGTAGGGTATAATGAGTCAATGATGAATTGACTTCACCTTATGCGAGCATCCTGTGCAGGTGTATGCACCCGACAAAATTCAGTTTAATGTGAATTTTTTAATATGTCAAAACTGATTCAATTCTATATACAAGTACAAAAAAACCTATACAAAATTATCAGAATGGGTTGTAAAAATATGACACTGGCTGGAAATCTACTAGGTTTGCACAAACCTTATACCATGCTTCAACTGAGGCATTTTGAGCAAATCTAGTGAATTTGGGAAATTTTTCATAGATCCAAATCTACTTAATCTACTAGATTTCATTTAAAATATGACGAAAATGTATTTTTGGGAACAAGATTTGTTTATGCAACACTGTGTCTCGGATAAATAAATTTAATTATGAGCTATCCATTCAAATAGTATGTTTTTATCATTTCGAAAAAACAACAAATTATAATGTATAAATTAGTGGCATTTAATGAATAAACTTAAAAATTTATAGAAGTAATTTTAATTAAAATTAATTTTATTGTCCAAATATAAAAATAAAGTCACAGAATTAGTTCCAAAATTCGAATCAAAAACATATTATTAGTAGTAGTAAATTCATCGACAAATTACTCTACTGTATGATATTTTTCAGTTTCTAGCGATTTTAATGCACATTTAAGATAGATTTGGCATTACTGAAGCATTAAAATGTTAGTAATTATAAGTGAATCTCCAGCATAAAGAAGAAGAGACAAATCTATGAACATTTTTGAGTTTGCCAGAGACCTGCGCCGATTCAGCTTTTTAAGCCGACTAAGCCTAGCCGCCGACAAAATGTCGAAACCGCCGTCGTTTCTGCTTAAGACGGCGTGAAAATTTTGCTATATAATTTACAAAATACTTTCGCTAAATTTACGGAATTTTATAATATGAAATTAATTTGTTTTAATTTAAAGAAGTTTTCTATTATCTAATAATAAGCCTCTCATTGAAATTTGGACGTCGTAAAACTTTGTTCAACTTTTGAAGAATTATATTTCGCCTCAAATATTTTCGACTTTACGCGCCATCTAGCTGTGAGCTGTATCTTCAAAAAATACTTTGTTTGAAGCGTCGGCAGCGTCAACCATCGGGACCAAAATATGTACATTGATTGCTTGACAAACCGTAATACCAAGTTCACACGGACAGTTGAATTACTTAAGTCGGCCTCTGAATTACAATAGCCAATTAACCCGTTTCTACAAAACATTCGTAATTCGTTTTGACAGTTCATCGCCATGTTTTTTTAATTAATTATTTTGGAATATTTATGTGTGTATGATTTTTGTTGCTATCAATGAGTGTTAACGCTTAAAGTTAGCAACAAAACGAACATTACCTGACTTGGCATCACTCCACAGAAGAAATCTGCTAAATCTTGAAATTATTTACATTTTCTTAAAAAAGGTTTTTTTATTTGATATTTTTTTTTATTTAAATTTTATTTTAAAATATTTTTTTATTGTTTGACATAAACACATTAATATTTGTATTTTTATTTTTGAATTGGTAGCACTTTTATCGACGTTAAAATTAACTTGTATAATTTTACACGTTAACTCCTAACGTTTATAAATTTTAAATTTATATGAAATTGCCTTTGAACGTTAGCAACAAAACACAACTATTATTTTAACAAATTAATATATTTTCTATTTATTTGTAATTTTATTTTAAGGGTAAGTAATAACCTATAAAAGGGGATTTTTGGTTTTTCAAAAGGTACTTTTTTGGAGAACAGAATAGAAGTAAAGCAACTACCAAAATTACTAAGGTGAAGCAAAAAATATGTCGAAAAAAAACCTAAAATTACATGTTTTGCTACTTCCCTTTCTTCTTCTCCCCCTTTGCCCACAAACTCGACACACTTGCTTGCTCACCCTTGAGAAAAAGTTTCATGTAAACCGGCACTTAGCTGGCTTACAATCGACTTTAAGCCGCCGTCAAAATTTTTAGTGTTAGCCGCGTCGTCGTTAAAATTTGTCTGCGCAGGGCTCTGGCGTTTGTCTGTGAAAAAATCAATTTGTAGTTGACTTCTTTGAACATTTTTGCGTAGTTTATTTGTTAAATTAAAAAAATATTTTTATAACAAATTCTTTTAATAGAAGCATGTAAGTAAATTTAAATACGGTGCAAACTTATTACAAAAAAGTGTTAACAAAAAATTACATTAAAAATTTGCAAAGAGATTAAAAAGTGAAAAAATTACGTTCAAGTGTGTGTGTGTATAAGAGCTGCAAAAAAAGCCAAAAAGTTAATAATTTTTATTTTCTGCAATTGAAATATAATTGGAACATGTTTTAAATGCTTTATTATGAAGAATTTATAATTTTTCCATAAGTTTACCCGGGGTACTGGTCGATTTCGTTTTTTTTACTTTTCATTTTTTGCATTACGTTTTTTCTCGTTTATTCTTCCAAGATGGCCGTTCGTAACAGTTTTGTGGTGTCTCTACGTTGCTTTCCAATGTGTATTTTGTTTGCCAGTAAAATTGACTTCTAACAAATTGTGACGACGTCTTGACATTTTTTCTGTATCAGATTTAAAAAGATAAATCCTCTTTTAATCAAATGATATTCATATAAATTAAATTTAAAATTTTGGTGACATGAATTGTTTATTTGTAGCATGTTTTGTTTTTTTCTCTTCCAATTGTTTTGTTTTAATGCTTGCGTTTTTGTTTATTTGATTTTCTCATTCATATTAGAATCGATTATAATAATTGTTTCTGTTTTATTTTATGGTCTTTTCGTAATGATGACACATCGCTAACGTAAATTTAAGCGTATACATACATACATACATTCATATGTACGTAAGACGACGGTTTAAGATCGGGTGTGTGTTTGTGTATGTGATACAATTTCGTCGACAAGCTGAACAAGAACAACAACATTCATATCTATTTCCCACCTTAGCATCTATCTCCCGTCTCTGTTGAATGTCATCTTAACTGTTATCGATTTTTCCCAACGCTTTAATCCATATGTTCTGGAATTCAATTTGAAAATTATCCTGCTTAAAAAACATTTACAGTTATGGCAAAAACTTTTTATATGCTTATTTAATACTACGGTGAGGTATAGAAACCTAATTTATTTTTATTATGCACTTTTGATTGTGGGGGCGTATATTTTTTTATACCCTACACCTCTAGGTATGAGGTGGGTGTTCCATATGTTTTTTGATTATTTTAAAACTAAAAAAATAATATTCTTATATTAGAATGCCAATCGGCCTAATATCGCTTACTGGTTCAAATTCGAAAAGTCTAGTACCTCATATAAGGTATCCCTTAAAAATAAACTATCAAGACAAAAGTATTCACACATGTCATATAGTCAGCAGTCGCTCGGATGCATGGATATCTTTGTGGACTATCGGAGTCTGCTGACTCGCTGAAAATGTTTCGTACATTTATTTTTATATGAGGGTACATCTATACAGTGAGTGCACATTAGATGTTCCAAAAATTATCGATTTTGCCCAATTGGGTCTTATTTTGTTTATTAGTATCTAAAACTTTTTTAAAATTTTAGTTAAATTGAACAACGGGAACCCGTACGAAAATCGGTTGAAAACTTTATTGGATTACTTAAAAACAATTATTAAAATTAAATACATATTTTTATTATTTGAACTAAATCTTATCTTCAAGAATACATCTTATTTCCATCAAGTTTATACATAGATTTTGTTAAAATATTAAAAATGTATTATTTGAATGACAATTTTTTTGAAGAAATCAAAAAACTCCTATTTTTTACTTTTCAGTCAGGTTCTGGATCGGATTATCCAATTTGATTAAAATTTTACGCAATACCTATATTCTTTACTAAATAATATGCAAATACCTAATAGATAAATGTGGCTTGATATTTCATTTAAAATTTAGATTAGAAAATCAATATTTTTCGCGAATTGGAATGAATAGTCTAAAATAGCTACTACACAATTAGTCGCGAGAAGTAAAGTTCAATTCTGTTTTAATTATTATCGAAGTAGATAACATCGATACCAAGCATCCTAGAGGAAATAAATAGGTATAACATTCATATCTAAAATTAATTAATAATACTGAATGGAAATTATAATGACTCAATGAAATAACTATGTTTTCGAGATATAGGTACATACCCAATAATATAGGTTTCTACGGATATTACTAATTTTTGAACGATTTATGCAAATAATTTAATTTATATTAAAAAACATAACTGAAAAAATAAAATAAAAATTAACATGCTCGTTCGCATTTAGAGAAACAGACCCTCTATTTTACACAACACAGTTTATTTCATTAATGCCTCAGAATTTGTTAATTCTTTCTTCTAAAATCTTAACCCATCTATAGAAAGGTGTTAAAATATTGGATAAAGATTAGCCAGTTAATAGAATTCGCCCTTCAGGCAATAGGAGGTTACTTGGCAAAGTCTTCAAAATTGCAATATGTGGTTTGATGACATGCCTTGCGTGTACGCAAAACCTTTAATCGAAAGCATGTTTTGTTAATTGGTACACAATATTTACAGACTATAGTGATGTAGTTTTTGCATATATAGGTACATACAATGTATATTGCAAAATTTATTTTTTAATATTTTTCTTTAGAGCATTATTTTTATTGTCCAATTTAGCTATTTTATGTGCTGGGTTAGTTGGCAACCTTGTCCAACAGTGAAATGCAAAATTGTCTATTCTCTTTTGACGTTATTTTCCGTTTTGTGTGTGTTTTTTATTTATTTTTTTTTATAACATTTCAGTCAGTCATCGTGTATTCTTCTTTGTTATTGGTAGTGTTTGAACAACGGGTATATTGACGATTAACCATGAATTTTTGAGGCGAAGTTCAACATCATACATATGTTTAATATAAATAATATTGTTAATATTTCGTATAACGGTGCTTTTTAATATAAAAGGTTGATAAAATTATAAATAATCTGGAATTTAATGCGTTCAACTCGCCACAATAGAGATAAAGTGTTTAAAAATATTGTTTTGTATAAATAAAAGAAAACAAAACAGATATACATATACATACATATTTATGTAAATAATTTTTCTTTTTAAAAAGACCCCTAAACTAAATGTTAAATATAAAAGAAAACAAAAAAAAAAAAATACATACAAATAGTGGTCTTGTGTAGAAAATTCAGGCAGCATAGTACATATTGTTAGCTGTTAAGGTGCCTTAAATTTTTGTTTAAAATTATTCATTTTGTATTTTCATTGTTGTTGCGTGACACTTGCATAATACATAACAGCATCCGAAAAAAAACAGGCATTTTCCCATTAAAACATTTTATTTTTATCTTTTTGACATGTTATTTAAAAATTCACTTAAAGACAACCATCACATTTGTATCTATACATGGATTTATCTATTTAAATTTGTTTATTATAGCCAAAAATTAATATTTTGAGTTGAATATTTATACATATAGTCATTCATAAAAGAAATAGAAACAGCACGCAAAGTCGTCTAAGTAAAATCTTATAAGTAAATACGTACTCAAGTGCAAGGTCTATAAAAAAAGTGTTGTCAAATAAAAGTATAAACAATTATTTCAGAATATACCAAATTTCTTTTATACTTATCTGCACTTCTGAGTCAAAGACTAATAAAGCAAAAACTGTTTAGTTCTCTCTTTTTGTTGAAGATCTGTAAATTGTCCATCAACAGTACGTAGACAGAGTGAGTTCAATGAACTTCAAATAAATATAATCATTAAATAACTAGTCCTGAAACGTATGATTATAAACACAGCGATTTTTATTTAAAGTTTTTAAGATTTGCACAAAATTTTGTGAAACAGTTGATGAATTACAATAATTTTCGAAAAATATGTGAAGGGTATTTTGTTAACTATTTTGCAATTATTTTTGTTAAAAGATTTTCCACCAATACATTACCCAGATTAATGTATCTCAGGTCATGTAAATTTTAAAAATCTAAGTTGGATAACAGGTTAATAAGATTCTTTTAAGTTATGAAAAGATAAATTAATTTGTATTTGTTTAATATGAAAATATAAAAAATTTGTTAATTATACACAAAATGGCTTACATTCTACTCAATAACAATACTTTGTGAAATTATTTAAATATATTTATATTTATAATTATGACAAAATAATTTAAATTAAAGTATAATACACATAAATTATGGGATAATTGTTGGAACAACGATATTTGAAGATAAAAAAGCTGAAATAAAATAAAATCTTAAATAGTTTCCGAACTCTAAAACATGTTTTTAATTGATTAACACAAAACATTTGACATGTTAAAATGTATGTTTTTAAAAAATTCATTAAAATTTGTCTGAATATAATTTATGTAGTTACGTAAATTAGAATAGTAAAATTCTACTAATAATTCATAATAAAATTTTAATTGTTTAAACGATATTTAAATAGTAGTCAACTTATTTTAAACATTTTTATACTTTGGTTTTTGAGTTAGGTCGCAAATTAAGTAAACTCAGGATATGTACATATATAATAATATTAACAAATGTATGCGCATGATCATTACGTACTAAATACATATGTATATACATTTGTGATTATGTATGTAAGTTAAAGAATATATACATATTAATGACGTCGTTGATTTTACAAAGTACAATATACATATGTATTGATTGTTTAAATTAAGAAATTAAAAAAAAAATATTTAAAATTTAGAACCTACATGAATGTAAAGTAACAAAGTAGTAAAAGTGAGACACCCCCCATTCGTTTTTATTAAATTTGCTTACAGTAAAATACATAAATGTATATGAATATATGTACATACAACATATTTAGAATTTTATTATATTTATGCATTTATTTCCTATTTCCAATACCAGATATTATTACTGATAGTGTGGTCGCATAAGAAACAAGTTTCAATCTTATCACAATTTATTATTTATTTAAATGCATACATTCATACGTATTTATTTACTATTTTTTCAATCATGTTTAAGGGTAATAAAGTGTCTCCTAGACAGGTTGTGATTAAATATTGTTGTATATATACAACAACTTAAAACACATGCAAATATATTTATATACAAATTGTTAAGTTTCTTTTTGTTTTTGCTTTTCTGTTTAGAATTTTTGACATGTTTTTTAAGTATGACTCATTTATACCAGTCTAAGTCAGCTGCTTGCTCTCAGAGATTCAATTAATTGTTAACAAAAACAATAACAAAACTTTGTTTTTGTAATCTTATTATTATAAAGTTGAAAACATCAATAACAACTTGATTATGGTTTGATTAGTAAACTTTAAAACATTTCCAATTCATTTATAATATTAAGAATCTTAAATAGATCTATTAATAATATACACAAGAGTAAAATAACGAACCTGACATCATCTGCTGGTTTGATTCATATTTTAAAGCTAGAAATATATTAAGAAACAAACTTAAAAGATTCACCTTTATCAGATATTGAGCCAACAGATTAGGAAAAAATCTGCTTATATTGCAAATTAGAGGATAATAAAAGAAAAATGTTATATATATTTTTATATAAGAATTTTTAAATTCCTACGTACATACCAATAAATACGTACTTAATTTTGGCTGTATATTTCTCAAAATTTGTTATAATGGAATAGTTCATCGGTTATTTGTAGATTCTTTTTTGTACGCTTTGTCATAGAAAATTCACAGTTTTTATTTTGATTGACTATAGACAAAAGTTAATGAATTTATTTAAACAATAGCAAACACACAAGTTTGGCACTTCAGAATAAATTAAGTTAATATAGTCATTGTTACAACAACAATTTAATTGTACAATGATGATTGTTGTCTGAAATATTTAAAAAAAAACTGTGTTAAACTAAAAATGTTTTCGTTTATTTAACCATGTTAAAAAATAAGTATGTATGTATGTTGTGTGTATAAAATATAAAATGATAAGTAACAAAAAGTACTTTGAAGTGCAATGATTAGTTTATGAAGTATACAATTGATTGTACATACATAAGTATGTATTTGTAATTGACTATTTGTCAATATTGCCAAAATAACGGTGTTTTACATACATAAATAGTACCCTAAAAACTGTTTTTATTAACTGAATCACTGAAGCACTTTTGTATTAATTAAAATAATTTCCTAAATAAATGATTAAACTATTTTGGTTGATTACATTATTATTAATAATACTCTCATATATTGTACTATTTTTGAAATACTTAAGTTTGTCTATTTTCTTCTTTTTAGTTTCCTTAAAAGTGCTGGGCACTGGAAAATATATTCATATATAAAAACTTTCGATTTAAAAAAAATATATATTTTCCTAAAGTGGAATTGTAAAAACTTGCCTTAAGTTGAAAACAGCATGAAAATGGTGTTGTCGCAACGGCAGCGCGAGGAGCTGTAAGTAGTTTTGAAAATTCTTGCATTTAGAATCGTATTAATTTTCTTGTTTTTTTTTTAATATCCAGTAACCAAGCGATTGCCGACTATTTGGGCAGCAATGGATACTCAGAATCTTTAGAAGCATTCCGCAAGGAAGCCGATCTCAGTGGTGAAACAGAAAAAAAGTTTGGCGGTCTACTCGAAAAGAAATGGACATCAGTAATACGTCTACAAAAGAAAGTCATGGAACTTGAGGCTAAACTTTCCGAAGCAGAAAAAGAGGTTATAGAAGGTGCTCCATCAAAAGCTAAACGTAGTCCAGGCGAATGGATACCAAGGCCACCAGAGAAATTTTCATTGACCGGTCATCGTGCCAGCATAACACGAGTAAGTTTTTAATTAAACATTTATTTTACATATCGAATAATAAAATTTATATTTATTCACATTAGGTTATATTTCATCCAATATTCAGCCTAATGGTGTCAGCTTCTGAAGATGCTGTCATTAAAATTTGGGATTTTGAGACAGGCGAATATGAACGCAGCCTTAAAGGTCACACAAATTCTGTGCAAGATATTGCATTCGATGCTCAAGGCAAATTGTTAGGTAAACTGAAATAAACATCAATCATTTATATATATCATAATGTAAATGTATGTTTTATTACAATTCATAGCTTCATGTAGTGCTGATTTATCCATCAAACTATGGGATTTCCAACAGAGCTATGAATGCGTCAAAACAATGCACGGCCATGACCATAATGTATCATCGGTTGCTTTTGTACCAGCTGGTGATTATGTTCTTTCAGCTTCTCGTGACAAAACCATTAAAATGTGGGAAGTTGCAACCGGGTTAGTATTCAGATGACAATACTTACCACAACATATTACTTAATATATATAATGTCTTGTTTTCTTTTAGTTATTGCGTTAAAACGTACACAGGTCACAGGGAATGGGTACGTATGGTTCGCGTGCACATGGATGGTAGTATTTTTGCATCATGCTCAATTGATCACTCAGTTCGGGTTTGGTCGACAAATTCAAAAGACTGCAAGGTAAGTGTGCTTTAGTTTCCATTAATATGTTTGTGTAAAATTAATATAATGTTCCACTTTACATTAGGTTGAATTGCGCGATCATGATCATACAGTCGAATGTATTGCTTGGGCGCCAGAGGCTTCTTCTTCAGCTATAAATGAGGCTGCTGGAGCTGATAATAAAAAGGGTCATCATCAAGGACCCTTCTTGGCATCTGGTTCAAGAGATAAAACCATACGCGTAAGTATTTTTTTGTTATTAAAATGTAGTGATTGCATTCGAAAAATATCAAAAGTATCATAATTTTTTAATGGTGCAATCAACCTTTATTATGAAATTGTTGGCAAAAATCAATATCGCTCTTTTTTAACTAAAATGCAGTGCTTTTGAACTAAGAATCACAAAATATTCGCCATATTAAAATCGTTTATATAGTTTTATCTTGTTTTTTTAATGTCAATTATTTCTGGCGTGCGAATGATTTGTTGTTATAAATGTCAAAACACTAAAACCTACCGATCGCGTCCCCGGGTGGCAGATAGGGTGGTCTTGTCTTCTCCCAGCTATAGTTTCAATTATGTTTAGGGAAGGCAGACTGTCCACCACCTGGGAATCATGTGTTCCCCGCGGGAAAAAACTAGAAAAATATGGAAAATAAAAATAATAATATACAAATTACGGTGGAGGGCCTAAATAACCCAATACCGGCGGCAAATGTTGATCAGCTCGCGAGTCACGTGTCGTCGTCATCCTACGATCGTGATTAAAATACTACTACGGAGGTGGGTACATTAGCCCCGTGGCGAACAATGCGTAAAGTGCACAGCATGTCGTTGTCAAAAACACCTTTAAACATATGTAGGTGAGGGTTCCGACTCTGAATCCTCAGATGATAATAACAAAACCATCATAGGGAATCCCCAAAAGGATGAAATAGACCAAATGGTAAAATTTTGATGCAAAAGTAACAATACAAAGAGTAAAATACAATAGGTCCAGTAAGGAGGAAAATTAGAACCCATGTGAGTCGCTCATTGGCCGACTGCCTCTATAACCTAACCTAAGGAGGATAAGATTGATTTTTCATAATATATATATATTAATGTAGGTAAATCACCTCTTATAAAAGAACTATTTTGACTGTTTTAGGCTGTATACACAATAGATGACGTCGGTTAAAGGCTATTTTTATGTTGATGTTACAATTTTATAATAAAAATTAGTAATATTTGTAAATGATAGATGTATATGTTTGGTTCAACCCACAACAACAAATAAGTAAAAAAAAGTTTGTAAAAAAATATAGGGAAAACAGCATTCAATACTTTTACAACTCCTAATTGCAGCTATTGAGCATTTCAATTACATTTCCGAAATTCAGTTACGTAACGATAGAAAAAAGGTATTCCAATAAAAAACAGAATCTTAAGAAAAAAAGGCAATTACACTTAATTTCTATTCTTTACGATTGTATGCATTCTACATTACGATCGTAGCTTGTTAGATGTTATTTAAGTGACGGAGAGTCTAATCGAAATGCAAAATAGAGAAAATTTCAATTCGAATTAAAATGCATAATTGGGGTGAATAAAAACATGTATAGTAATATAGCTCAAATAATTAACATGTCATATATCTTTGTTTTGAACGTCAGGAATAATACGTTTCTTTTACAACATAAATGTGATGGTCCTTGACTAAGATTTTTTATATTTATTTTAAGGTCTGGGACGTAAGTGTTGGTTTATGTTTATTTGTGCTGTCCGGCCACGACAATTGGGTGCGAGAATTAGCATTCCATCCTGGTGGTAAATATTTAATATCAGCCAGTGATGACAAAACAATTCGAGTTTGGGATTTACGTAACAAACGATGCATGAAAACACTTTATGCTCATCAACATTTCTGCACTTCAGTTGGTAAGTTGAATGAATGAATAATATGTTTCAAATTTCCATATTTTAAATGTTTGTTTTTCTCTTTTGATAGATTTCCACAAAACACATCCATATGTAATTTCTGGTAGCGTAGATACAACGGTTAAGGTTTGGGAATGTCGTTAAGCCAATAGTTATTAAATTAGAATGGGGCGATACTTGTAGCGTTTGTTAGCTTGTACACCCCAGGAGAAGATAAATACATACATAATACTATTTAAGAGCTACAATTTACTTCAATTACTGCAGAATATACACAGAACATACACACAACATATACATTTAAAAAAAATATACATATATTTATTGATTATAATTTAATTTGAATACAAAACAAAATAAAGATGGATCTCTCTCAGATTCGTCGATATTAATTATTAGATTATATATAAATTACGTTTAAAACAAAACAAACAAGAAATGGCATCGTATATGTATTTGCTAAAAACAAAAACAAAGAAATATAAAATTCTTACAATTTGTTGTCGTTTGGCGTAAAATCATATTCGATAGAGTCGTAACGTAACACTTATTCTTTTGTTGATCGTTCGTACTGGACTAAACAAATCGTTGAAATATTGACAACTTGTGGGTGTCAATATTTTTTTACCGGTTCACAAGGATCAGCAAAATTGTATGTTTTCTCTCCTAAATTTTGAATAATAAGTATTGAGTAGAACTCGAATCATATATTATGTACGTACGCCTTATAATTAATTAATTGTAATCATAAACACTTTCGTTTAAGTTTTTTTTTTGCTTGCTGGATTTTTATTTTTCTATAATAATTATTATTAAACCTAAACTATCATTATTAGATTTATGATTTTATATGAAACTTAAAGAAAAACGTGTCTCTTAAATTCAAGTTCAAGTAGAAGATTTAAGTTAATATTAATTCGTAGTAAAGTAGATATTTTTCCATTAGGGCGAGTTATAATAAATCCAACTGCAATTGATATTTCTACTATTACTATCAATGAAATCAATCATTCAAATTGTATGTATTATTATAATGGATAAGTAGTAGAAGAACAGCAATAGACAGATCCTCTTTCACTTTTATTATTCTTTCTGCTAGATTGGCTAAAAACAACGCTTAAGTATTCAGTATAAAAATAATGTATACTATACATACATACTACGCACGAGTGAAAATATTCAAACGATTTATTTATTTTCTTTTTTTATTTGCTGAATAAATTTTATAATTTTTTCGTTAAAATGTTTATTAAATTTATATCCTTTAGTATCTTACAAATATTTAAAAATTTCACTATCACTTTCTTTTTGTTCCCCCTTATTACTGAACTGTATTTTTTGTTAATTTCTTTGTTCTTTTGGTATTAACTGAAAAGTAATAAATTAAAGTAAAACTTATTTTGTTATTATTTAATCTTGATCTGATGTTTTGTGAAAAATTTAAAACCACCCGGCTTATTTACATAATGAGAATATAAAGAGGATAAAGAAAAACAAAACTTTTTGTTTTATTTTTTCATTATTTTTATTGCTATAGTGAACGTTTTTGTCTTGCATTATAAATTGTCTCTAACAAAATCAAAGCCCTGGATGTTATGCTTTTTGAGTTGCATATATTTGTAAAATTATCAACTAAATAAACCAAAACTATTGAATATAAATATACAAATTATATAATACAAAACAAAAATTGTGCACCTTTAGAAAAGCTTTATAATAATATGTACTCCTAAACTGTTTCACTGCTCTCCATTTTTGAATTATAATACGAAAACATAACTTAATAATACTTATGTATACATGCAAGTATGTATGTAGTATGTAATAAAAAATAACGGAAAAACTCATATATAAATAATTGAATATATGAAATCAATTAATTTTGGAAAATTATTAATTAAATTGAAAATAAAAGTTTAAAAATTACCGTCATATTTACTTAAAACAATACTTGTACAATGGTGAACTTAACAATATTTGAAATTACAATTGTTTAGTGAAGTGCTCGTGTAAAACATTAATCTATAAAAATATAATGGATACTTCATTTTTACCCCAACCGAAATGCTATAGAAATTTGGACATTATTACAATTACATATTTTTGATGATAATAAAAGGAATCTTACGAACATAATGTGTAATAAAGTTTGTAATTATGAATAATTCTAAAAATAAAAAAACCCATAATAAAAATCCAATAAATGAATGTACTTATTACTCAAAGTCGATTTAAAAGGAAACACTTTGAAAGCCAATTGAATCACAGTCTCACTTTGCTTTAAATACTCCGAATTATTTTATTTTAATTGTTGACTTAGATTAGAAATAAAATAGGGGAAAAGAAGAATTTTTAATATTTTTCAATAATTCGTAAAAGTATTAATTGAAGGCAATTGAAGCAATTCATACTATTAGAGCTGATTTGGAGATGACGATTAACCGCCAATTAATAATTAGTTAATCTAAAAATAAATTTAGGTCCTGTTCTATAACACCGTCCGACAAAAAGAGAAAAAAATCGTTAGAACCGAACCGGATGATATACGTCAGATACTATAAATTTAAAGGAGAAAATCTGCGTTTTTAGTTTTTCATTTCGTGATCCTGTGTCCTTTTAAAAATACTTCAAAGTTTTAAAAAGTAAATTTTTCAAAAAAGGACACAGGATCACGAAATGAAAAACTAAAAACACAGTTTTTATCAATTAAATTTATAGTTTCAGATGTATATCATCCGGTTCGTGTCTAATTTTGAGTGTCGGACGGTGTAATTAGTTTGCGCCTCAGCTATTTTTAAAATACGATTTTTTGCGCATGTATTTTTGTGATGCATTTCCGAATGTACTGCGCATCAGATGCAGCGTAGTGATGCACTTTGGACTGCTGTCATGTCACTATTTGCTATCAAAATGGATATTTTATGAAAATGTAGAAATACTATTTTTAAATTCTCCAAGGATTAAATCAAAATTTTCTTTAATTTTCTTTTAATTTACGTCCTAAAGGACGTAACATTTTAAAGCAAAAGAAAAAAAAATAAAGTGGAATGTTTAGTTTCAATCAATTGTTTTACTTCAAAATAGCATTTTTTAACAGTAACATTTGGTTTGATGCAATACATCAGAATCGAAGAAAAAGTCAATTTTGAAATTTTTGTTAGTTAGGGTCGTTTGCGTTTTAGGAGACGATATTAAAATTTTATTGAAATTACAGTATTTTAGCTAAATCGACAACCCCTTTCAGAATTTCAAAGTTGCAATTTCTACCAATAAAAACATAACGCTTAAATTTTGATATCCAAAATTATAAATCTTAGTGAAGCCACTCCAGAAGAGAATTCGGTAACAGTTTTTATATTTTTGTGGAAAATTGATTGCCTTTCAAAGGCGATTTCCTCCAAATAATACGAAAATGGTAGCTTGAGAGTCATTTTTGGTAAAATGAAGCATGTGATATTTTTAGTACATTAAAAATACAATGTATTTTGATTACCATTTGATCTTTATGAGAAAAACATCAAATCTATCTGTTTTTTATATTTATTTCAATTTTCTTCCTCCTCCTTTTTGTTGTTTACTTCATTTACTATTTCGTTTTTGTCACTGGAATCTGTGTCTTTCGTTTCGTTTTCCTCAGTTTCCGATTGCGAATCATTGCTTTTGTCATCATCGCTCGCTGCAACCGATTCTTTGGGATTAGACTGTTTTGCCCTTTTAGCTCGCCCCTTCTTTTTTAAACGTTTTGCTCTCTTTTTTGCGGTTTTTTCTTCAGCTATTCTACGATTTTCTTCCAGTTTTTCTTGATACTCTTCATCCAACAATTCCTGGTGACTTTTTGATTGAATCATTTTTTGTCTAGCGTATTCCTTTCGTCGCAGATGACGGTACACATGAAATTCACCGGAACCAGCTCCAGCACTAGAGCCCATAACATTCCGCACAAATGTGGGTACACTTTGCATGAAATCTTTCTCCTTTCTGTGTTCTGGTATGATTACGGGTTTATCCTTAATTAAGAATGTTTAATTAAAAATTTTATCAACATCTACCGAATGTCACAACCTACCGGATTTTTCATTAACTTCTCCAATTTTAAGCGTTGAAGATCAAGAGCAGATTTAATAATGGGCTTAGGTTTTTTTTCTTCATCGCTATTTCCTGAGTCATTTTTTGTTTTGGATTTTATTTCGGGTTCTTTAATTAAATTTTTAATAAGAGACATATTTACATTTGTAAAAATGTTAGAACTATAAAAAAATCACTGCTTGTTTATATTGTTTTTTTTTTTGGAAATAGGTTTAAAATAAAAACATTGTGGAATGAAACAAACGGAATGAAACTGAAATAGGTGTTAGAAATGCAGCGTTTTAAATTAATCAAGGCGAATTCAGATAAGGTGGTGGCAGTTCTGCAACAACAACATTTTACATGTATTTTGTTTTTGCATTTGGTTTACGTAGATGTAAAAAACCATAAGTACGGCGAATTCATTTGATGAAAAATTTTTGTAAAATTTTTATATTTTATTAAAGATAAAGACATTAAAATTTGTGAAGAAAATATATTCTGAATTGAATAATGTTTGTTTCAAACGAAAAATTCTATTTCGGCAAATTAATTAGCAAAATTTAAGTGAGTGCCTAAAGTTAAGTAAAACTTATTTTTTGTGAAAAATGAACATAAAAAAGTACATATTCACGAAAAAATATATATAACGAATGAATGAATCTTTGTTGCGAATGGATAATTCTACTCCGGCGGAGTAATTTTCAATATTTGTCCATAATTTAGCAGACGCCGGCCGGGTAAATACCTCATATGGGTTTTGTTATATAAAGCGTTCCGGCACAGACTTTTTTTAGTTAATCACTTTATCTACATAGTGTATATATAAAACAATATTGTTTAATTTGTTAACATTTAATAGATTTCAAAATTAAGCCATATGTAAAAGTAAGCTGCCGCTGTTCGGCTAAATTCTTCATATGTGTTTCTTTATATAAAAATACAAAAAAAAACAAAATACACAAGGCAGTGAAACCAACAGACATCCAAACATACGAAACGAAATACACAACAAGTAAGAGTGCTATATTCGGCTGTGCCGAAACTTATATACCCTTCACCATAGTGTATTTAATAAATATCAATTTCATAAAATTTATATTTATTTCATTTTCCCGACTATATCATTATTATAGCAATAGCAAAACAAAATGAACAACAACAGCGCTGAACGAAATAACCACACAAAAAACAAAATACACAAGGCAGTAAAACCAACAGCATCCAAACATACGAAAATGAATACATCAAGAAACAAAAACAATATACACAAGGCACTGAAACACACAGCCATCCAAACATGTGAAACGAAATACTCAATGAATAAGCAGTGTTGTTGTTGTTGCTTATTAAACAAAGCATGAAAAAATTGTCTTTTTTAATGAAATTTTCAGAGGTTGTCTCGGATTTTTGCTTATATCTCCGTCATTTATGGACCGATTTTGCTGATTTTAAATAGCGATCTTCTCGAAAGCATGTCTAACAGAATTATTGAAGATTCGGATCTCGCCGATATCTGGGGTCCTCTAAAAACTGATTTCAACAGACAGACAGACAGACAGACGAACAGACAGACAGACAGACGGACATGGCTTAATCGACTCCGCTATCTATAAGGATCCAGAATATATATACTTTATGGGGTCGGAAAATTATATTATAAAAATTACAAACGGAATGACAAACTTATATATACCCTTCTCACGAAGGTGAAGGGTATAATAAAACAAAAACAAAATACACAACGCAATGAAACCAACAGACACCCAAACATATGAAACTGAATACACCAAAAAACAAAAACAATATACACAAGACAATGAAACATACGAAACGAAATACTCCACAAAAAAGCAAAAACAAAATACACAACGCAATGAAATCAACAGACATCCAAACATACGAAACTGAATGCACCAAGAAACAAAAACAATATACACAAGGCAATGAAACACACAGCCATCCAAACATATAAAACGAAATACTCAATGAATAAGCTGTGTTGTTGTTGTTGCTTATATCAAAGCATGAAAAAAATTGTCTTTTTTATGAAATTTTCAGAGGTTGTCTCGGATTTTTGCTCATATTTCCGGTATTTATGGACCGATTTTGCTGATTTTAAATAGCGATCTTCTCGAAAGCATGTCTAACAGAATTATTGAAGATTCGGATCTCGCCGATATCTGGGGTCCTCTAAAAACTGATTTCAACAAACACACAGACGGACAGACAGACAGACGGACATAGCTTAATCAACTCCGCTACTTATAAGGATCCAGAATATATATACTTTATGGGGTCGGAAAATTATATTATAGAAATTACAAACGGAATGACAAACTTATATATACCCTTCTCATGAAGGTGAAGGGTATAAAAATGTAAACAATAACAAACTTTGACAGCTACGTAAACCAGGCGAATTAAGAAAAAAATTATCAGCTGATTAAATAACACCACCCATGGCGAAACTAATAAGGTGAAGTCATTTCAACAACTGATTGTTTTTTTGTCCATGGAAATTTAGCCCGAAGTTGTCAAACTCAATATAAAAAAATTCTCTCTCAAACCCGACGCTGTCAAACTACATATATAAAAAATTTCATGAATTCGCCGCAAAATGAAATGACTTCACCTTATAGTCTATTCGCCTTGACACCACCTTATCTGAATTCGCCTTGCACGCGTGCATAGAAAATGTTTTGCTCTGCTTTAAAGTTATCGTTTATTTATTGTATTATATTTGGTATTGAGAGACCAGAAAATATGGAGGCAACGACAATATTTTACATGTATTTTGTTTTTGCATTTGGTTTACATGAATGGCGAAACTAATAAGGTGAAGTCATTTCAACAGCTGATTGTGTTTTGTCCATTTTGTCCATATATAAAAAATTTCATGAATTCGCCGCAAAATGAAATGACTTCACCAAGGCGAATTCAGATAAGGTGGTGTTATTCAATCAGCTGATTATTATTTACTTCACTTGTCTGGTACGCACTGATGTCAGAGTTTGTTATTATTTAAATTTTTATATTTAAAAATTTCCGTTAAAAAAGGAAAAACTTCGTTAGTATTTTGAATATTTTATGTAAAAAATCTGAAAATACCAAGCATTTTATAAACGAATATTTTTCTTATATAAATAATGAATAATTGGTACGCATGTACAAACTTAATACAACAATAATATTTTTTCTATTAAATGTTAACAAATTAAACAATATTGATTTATATTTTATATTTATACTTTGTAGATAACACGATTGACTAAAAAAAAATCTGTTCCGGAACACTTTATATAAAAAACCCACATGAGGTATTTACCCGACCGGCGGCAGCTTTCTTCTACGTTATGGCCAAATTTTGAGATCTAAAAAATTTAATAAATTGTTTTATATTTACGCTGTGTATATAATGTGATTAACTAACAAAATTCTGTTCCGGGACGCTTTTTATAACAAAACCCATATAAGGTATTTACCCGTCCGGCGACAGCTGACTACAACGTGTAAATCTTAAAAATTACTCCGCCGGAGTAGAATTTTCCATTTACAACAAAGATTCTTTCATTCGGTATATAATTTTTCCATAAATTTTTACATTTTTATGTTTATTTTTCACAAAAATATTAATTTTACATAATTTTGGGCACAAACTTAAGTTTTGCAAAATTAATCTGATGGAGTAGAATTTTTTATTTGGAACAAATATTCTTCGACTCAGGGTATATTATCTTCACAAATTTTAATATTTTTATGTGTATTTTTTATAAAATATAATTTTTTTTCTAATACACTTTTGATTTTTTTTATATGTGGTTTGACAGTGTCTTGGCACTTTGAAGTCAAACTCCATATATAAAAAAATAAAATGAATTCGCTCCGTTTTTCTGAATTCGCCGACGACACCACCTTATAATTAATATATCTTGGATGGAGTGATAGAAAAAGATTCTGGAACAGATTTTGACATAAACAAGTTTTATGGTAACGAAAATCCTTCTACCAAATTTAATGATGATCGCTTTATAATTGAGCCTACCTCTCATATAAGCCCCTTCAGAAAATGAATTTAACGTTCATTACTAATCTAAAAATATAAGTACAGCGATGAAATTCGATACAAATTAGTTTCATATGAATGAAAATCTGTCTAAAAAAGTTTATGTAGATCGATCCATCCTACCCAAGGCGAATAGACTATAAGGTGAAGTCATTTCATTTTGCAGCGAATTCATGAAATTTTTTATATATGTAGTTTGACAGCGTCGGGTTTGAGAGAGAATTTTTTTTATATTGAGTTTGACAACTTCGGGCTAAATTTCCATGGACAAAAAAACAATCAGCTGTTGAAATGACTTCACCTTATTAGTTTCGCCATGCATCCTACCCTTCATAAAAGGTCCTTCTCCGAAAATTACATAAAAATGCAAGTATATCACTGAAATATTACATAATAGAATTAAGGAAAATATGAAGATCTTGGTCCATAATTTACCATTTCCCTCATTAAAGGCCCTATTCCGAAAACTACCATATGATGTTTATATTAATCTATTGATCACATTCCAGCTTTTTCTGCATATCAAAGTTTTTCGAATACCATTTTATATGTAAAAACACAACCTTGAAGTACAATAAACACAAGTCCTTATAAAATAATGGCGATGACATGAGAGGTGTTTCCGAACTCAGCATAAACAAGAGATTCACAAATTATCAAAATTTTAACGTATGGCCATATAGCTTTAACAAAACGTCAGCAGAACAACTATGAATTGTTTGTTCAAATCAATGCATTGAAGAATAAATCAAAATGCATGAATTATCATCACTAATTATAGTTTATTTTACAGAAATATTGCTCTAATTGTTTAAAACCAATTAAAATTAATTGCAAATTTTGTAAATAAACACAAATTTTAATAAAACTTATCTTAAAATCCAATTTTAATTGTACTAAAACTCAAGGGGCCTTATCCCTTGTCTATATTATACCCCATTTACACATACACGAAATCTAGTAGATTTCATTTAAAATCTTTTTCCAAATTTAGTCCGTTTACACTTACTATTCTTGACATTTAAGAAGATTTCATTTTTTCTAATATTTCTTGAAAAAGTGTGTGATATGAAAAATAAGAAGGAAAAATGGGATATTTATCAAAATTCCATTTAAAATAAAAAAATAGATATTTAAATATAACATTACCTTTTATTTTAGATTAACTTTTCATTCATGTTTTTCAATTTATAAAAAAT